CCTGTCCTCTCCTTCGGGAAGCCCTCCCTGACCGCCTCCCTCATGGAACTTTGCATCCACGTCGGGGCGAACTCTGTGTGACCCCATCCCCACCCCAGTCTCAGTGGGTTCCGTTCATAGCAGTGGTCAGTGAAGGACTGAAACGTCAACAGCTGTGCAGAGATGAATGAGAGAATGAGTGATGTGGGGGCAGGAGGTGCCTCTGCAGGCCCGGGGGCTGGGGAAGGGTGCAGCCCACCAGGCCGTCCTCCCCACTCCCCCTCAGGATCATAGGGCCTCTGTCTGATTCATTCCCCGGTGCCTGGCTTCCCAGCAAAATGCAGAACCGTGGTCTCTGGAGTCGGTGGCAAGGCCGAGGCTCCAGCCCCTCTCCATCTCCCATGTCAGCGTGGGCATGACTTACGTGCCGCCCGCCTCAGCCCCTGCCTCCCTGGCTTGGGGGGTGGGGGTAGGGCGGAGGCCAGTGGCCGGTGGGCACCAGCGGGGAGGGAGACCCCCGCATTGCTTCCCTAAGGCCCTGAGGGCCCTTGGGGTGGGGGCCGCGTCCCTGGGGGTGCTGATGCCGCCCCCTGCCCTGTGTCTGTGGAAGCCGTGAGCGCCAGAGCGGGCTTCACATTAGTATTCCCTGTACAGACGCTTGCAAAGAAATGACTCACACACCGGTTGACTAATTTGAAAGTAAGCTGTTTTTGCTGCAAGTGGAAAGGTTCAGTGAATCTTAAAAACTAAGCGATGGAGATTTTATTCCTTGTTCTAGACCTTTCCTTCTGCAGGGAGGGTGGCTCTGCCCCCAAATGTCTTTGGTTGGCTTCCCTGCAGCAGGGACAGCGTCTAACAGGACAGACCCCACTGGGGGCGTCTGCTACACAAAATGCGCCTTTGGGGGTTGGGATCAGGGGCCTGGGCTACAGTTCTGCAGAACCAGGCTGGGGCTCTGGCAAGCCCACCTGCCCAACACCACTCCTCTGGTGGGGTAGGGGACTGCCAAGAGGGTGTGCACCTCCCCCACGTGCTGGGGACTTACGGTTATGAGGGGCTACTATCCCCCCATTTTACAGACAGGCAGTGAAGAGGCACAGAGAGGTCGGTAATGCATCTGAGGTCACACAGCTGCTTTGGACAGAAGGTGGGATTACAAACCTGGCCATGGGAGGTAGCTGGCTTTCCTAATTTGGGTCACCCCCTCCCTCCCGGGTTAGAGAGGAGAATGAGGGCCAGACCTTTTGCCCTGCGGGGATGACATTTGCATTTGTCCTGTGGGAAGTGGGACTTGAGGGGACACACTGCAGGAAGCAGGGAGCCCCAGCGTGTGTGTGTTGGGGGAAGTTGAGAGCAGCTGGTGGCCCAGGGTGGGCGGTGACAGAGAAGGGAGCAGCGAGGTCAAATTCACGATATGCCTCCAAGGTGGATCCAACAGGCCTCTGACATTCATCGGGAGGGAGTGAGGGCCAGAGCCTGCACGGAATTCCTTGTCCCCTTCAGGACCTGGTCTCCCCTGACCCAGCCCCGGCTCTAAGTGGTCCACACTCGTGGGCCACCCACTTCCCTTCCTGGCTTTCCTCCTCGGCTGCACTACCCAGGCATATCGTCCATGGCAGCAGGGACAAGGGAGGCCCCAAGGCTGGTGACACGCCGCCTGCCTGCCAAGGGCCAAGCACCGAGCCCCCCGACCTCAGGCAGCTGCTCGGGCCGAGGGGTGCGCTGGAGCCCCTGGGAGACTTGACCTCAGGAAGAGAAGTCACAGAGGTGGTCAAGGCCAGAGCGGGGAATTCCCCACCCCCTGGGCTCTTCGGTCACTGCCTGTAACGCCCTGTGTTCACTGAGGGACGCTGGGGAAGCAGGTCTAGTCTTGGGCCTCAGCCTGCTCTGCAGCCGCCTCACCTCCCTGGCAGCAGAATGATGGGCAGAAAATTGAAAAACTTAGCCAAACTAGTGTATTACTTTCCTGGCGCCCCCGCCTCCCCTCCGCCGAAACAGAAGCCAGAGATAACGCTCTCCCAAATAGGTTTACCGAAGTCAACCCATTACAAGTGCGGACAAGCTTGGAGATAACAGAAGCCTGTGAGTTCTTAATATCCTGCCCGGCACGCCGGAGGAATAAATGAGGGACGGGCAAGACAGCCCCGACTGCAAATACTCCGCTACGGCCCTCGGCCATCCATCAGCCCCGTGCGCGGCAGACAGTGTCGCCGGCCCTGGGTTTGGGAAGTATGGTCGCCATAGGGATGGAGTCAAATGCATCCTTTCAAAAATAGATCTGCTTAAAATTCATTAACTTAGACAACTCCACCAGAAGAAGCAATCAATTCCTTGAACTCTATAATCAGGCTTCTCCCAGGGACCTCTTCCTCAGTGTCGGTGAAGCTAATAAAGACTGGGTCCCATGGAAGGAGAGAGGCAAGAAGTCTAGCCTTGACGTTCTGCGGCCGGCTCGGGCCCAGTGACTTTCCCATGTGTTTGTCTCTGGAGTGAGTCACTCGTCACGCCGGCCAGGGTCGGGGGCCCGCTTGGCCCCTGCCAGGCGCCGGGCTGGGCCAAGGGTGCAGAGCAACCAAGGAATGGTCTCGCGCACCAGGAGCCACAGTTGAGTGGGGAGATGCGGGGACCGGCGTCTGGGCTCACTCTTGATGATCTCATCTTGCACGGGGCCATAAATCCCGCTCACTAGCGGACAAGTCTTGAATTTATATCTGTAGCCGGGACCTCCCCACTGAGCCCCAGACCCCATTATCCAGATGCCTCTTCTCCATGTCCTCTGGGGTATTTAATGGGTATCCTAAACCCACCCTGTCCGAGCACGGCTAGACCTGTTTCAGGTTCTTCCAGCAGCTCGGGCCAGAGACAGGGAGCCCTCTGGGATTCCTCTCTTCACCTCAACCCCATATCCAGCGCCATCTGGGGGCCTGTGGGACCTGCCGTCCAAGAGCAGCCAGACTCCAGCCGTGTCTCTGGGCCTTCATGGGTGCTGGGCTGGGCTGGCCCAAGCTGTGCCCATGGTACCTGGATGACTGTGGAAACCCTACCTGCTTCCACCCATGCCCCTCCCCCTAATCTCAACCTACTAGCTGGAGGAACCTATTCATATATAAGCCTATCCTCTGCCCAAACCCTGCCAAAGGCTCCTGGGTCACCTAAGACCTTATGAAGCCCTCTGAAGTCCCCGGGCCTCCCTGGCCTGGCCTCCTATTACTCTCTACTTCCCTCACTCCACTGCAGCCACATTCCTGCCCCAGGGCCTTTGCACTTGCTAGCCTCCCGTGTAGAGCTCTTCCCCCAGGTGGTCTATGGGCCTGTACTTGGCAGGAAGATTTCCCTTGTCACCTTGTCTGAAAGTGTCCCTTTCCCCTGGCACTTTCCACTACCTGTTTGACTCACGCATCTTGTTTGCCGCCCGTTGGTCTGACCAGCAGAATGCATGAGCCACAGAGCCAGAGGGGGGCATACTGTGTGGTCACTGCTGAGTGCCCTGGACCTCACCTGGAACATAATGGGTGCTCAGGAAGTGTGCAGTCAGTGAACAGATGAGTGAAACTTGTCTCTCCTTCCAGAAGGCTGCCCCCACCCCCTCCTTCAGGCTCTCACTACAGAGTCAAGTGCTCAGCTCCCTTTGGAAATTTCTGGTCATGGCTTTACTACTGGGGGACAAATCCTCTCCCGTCTGGCAAGCCAGATGCTGGCCCCGTCTGACTCCTCCTCACCCGATGCATCTGCCCCTTGCAATGGATGGTGTGGACTCTGGCTCAGTCAACGTCCCGCTCTATACGCTGGCCACGTCAGCCCCTGCCCCAAGCTTCCCTTCTGGAACCTTCCATTCAACTCTTCCCTTTCCAACCACCTGTGCACCCCTTGGTTGTTCCTGGGAAACCTCATCTCACCACTAAAACCTCTTTCTCTCTCCCACACCCCCCAACCTGCTTCTTCAGCATCCACCCCACCCCATGGCCCTGATGGAAATCTGGGGATCCTCGGTGCCTCCCCACCCACCGCCCTGTTCCTGCTTCCCTCGCCCCCTCCCCTAGAATCTCAGGCCAGCCTGCAAACCCCACCACGAGGCTGGGCACTGAGCTTGTGGGGTCCATGAGGGTGGGGGCTGCTGGAGTAATGAGGGGCCATTTATGCATCCGCTGCACCCCATTAAGGTGAGCAGAAGTACAATGCAGACTCAAGGCAGGCGCAGCAAACCTGAAAGCTTCCAGGCTGCGTGCCCTGTGCTCTCTGTTGATACAATTCCGTTCGATCCACTTAACAAACATTTACCCAGCACATGCTGCCAGCCGAGCACGGGGCCAGGCCCCATGGGAGGCACCCCTCTGCTGCTCCCTGCCTCACCCCCTCCTCCCTGTCTCTCCAGCCTGCTCCTCCACCCCTTCTGGAGGCTTCTCCGGAGACCACCTCCACCCTCAGCCTCTCTGCTTTTACACCCCGCTGCGCTGTCTACACCCCACTCTAGACGTCTGTGAAGGAGGGTAGGGCCAGGGCAGCAGGCTTCCTCAGCACCCACGCTGCCGGTGGCCACACTGCCCTGTCCCATGAAGGGGGCGTTGCCCAGAGGAAATGCTTGCTCGGCGCCCGGGGCTGGGCGGTGGTGGGGGGCTCCCGGTGACCAGAGCACGTGGGCCCCAGAGGGCAACAGCAACCACGGTAACCCCACAGTCGTGCCTGCCTCCCACCCCGGACTCGGCTGGTGCTGTGACCGAGCACATCTAGGGCTCATATGGGAGACGAGGCCAGGAGCAGGCACCTGGCTGACAGCCGAGGGCCTGGAACGCAGGGTGAGAACTGGGGCCGGCTCTCGGAGCTCCCGGAGCTCCCGGAGCGAGCCCCCATTCCTCTTTGCTCCCCTCCCCCCCATGGGGCTAGCTCTAGGTTGTAATAATAATAACGCTAACCAACCCCGAGCTCACGCTTTCCTGCATGTGGGGCGCCCACCCGGGCCCGTTTGCGAGGATATCCCGAGTCCTCTTATCACCATTGCACAGATGGGGAAATGGAGACACAGAGAGCCTTAGTATCCTGGGACGGTCGCACTGCTAGTGCGTGCCAGAGCCCGGGTTCAAACTCTGGGGGAAAGTGGCCCGCAGACGTCTTTGGTGTGGACAAGTGAGCAGACACGCTGAAATCGTCCCCACAGGCCTCTGAAGAGGGGGTGAGTGACCAGAGCCGAGCCCTGGGCCAGTGGTGCTGGGGTGGGGGTGGGTGGCTCTCTTCTTCCCAGCTTCACCCTTGGCCCGATGATGAGAAGTGAATTTTCTTAGTTCCCTGCGCTCGTGCATTTATCAAACACTAACCGAACACCTAAGCATGGGGGATTTGGGGACAGTTGAGGCCGGCCCTGTCCTCCCCAATGTGGATGCCGCCCGCCCCCCCAGCTGGGAGGAAGATGTCTAGAAGCAGCTGCAGAAGAAGCAGGTGGTGGGAGCTGCGCCTGTGGCCCCCACAACAAGGAGGAGGCAGGGTTGGGGGGGGGCAGGCTGAGCTGCCTGCAGGAAAACCCTCACGTCTCCTCTGCTCTGTCTGGGAGACTCAGGGCTAAACCGCCTGGGGGGGGGGGGCTGCGGCGCAGCACAGACACCCCGAGGCCCAGACTCACCCGCCTCCCACTTTGTTTTCCCTCCTCTTCTAATTTATGTGGTTGCTCTGGTGTCACTTCCTAAGCCTTCCTAAAGCCTCTGCAGAATGAAGTGGGGATTAAATAACCCAACTGTTGTCAGCCTCAGCGTGGTGGGACCGCGGCTGGGACGGAGGCTCTGCCCGCCATCCCAGGCACATGGGCCAGGAGGTGATCAGGAAAACTCTGAGCACGTATTTGTTCTGAGACTTGATTTTTTTAAATGCTGGCCCGGAGGCTGAGATTGTGTCCCCACTCACACCTCCCCTCCTCTGTCCCCCAAAGTTTTCTAAATCAAATGCACAAAAATTGCGTGTGGCGGGGATCCCTCTTAAATTGTGGAGCAAGTACGCAGCTTTGAAAGGCTCGCTTCCACGTCAGCCGGCTGTGTGAGCCACTCGTGACCGTGACCGCTCAGATGAAAAGTGCCTGTGTTATCCGCATTTTTGTCTTTTGTTCTGTAGCATGTCCCTCACATTCTCTCTGAATAAAAATAAAAACTTGACCCTGAGTTAGAAAGCCAGGGGGTCCCTCCTGCCCCTGCGAAGCCTCCTTCCCCCGCCCCCCGGATCCCCCCAGGTTATATCTGGAGAGCAGAGCAGCTCCGAATGCGGCTTCCCATTTCTTTCCAGATTTTTCTATAAGATGAGAATCTTAAACTCTGACTGTCGACAAAACCGGTCACCTGCCCACCCTTCCCGACAAAGGCTGCAATGTAGCTATTGATGGATTCGGGGCAGCAGGGCCATGATGAGAGTCCCATCTTTGGACATCTCAATACCTTCTACACTCCCTTAAAAAACTTACATTGCTGAAAACCCCAGCCCTGTTAGTTTACCGCCGAGTATCTGCCGCATCGACATGTCTTCATATAAACATAGCCATACACCCAACACCCAGAGACCAAGAAGAAGGGCCCAGATCACCAGCATCCCTTTGGCCCAACATAAAGAACCTGAGCCAAGTCACGCCTGGACTGGTGAGTTGAGTTAGTGGAATTAACGGAGGGACTGTGTTTCTCGGCCACCTGTTAGTGACACATTTCTGAGCAAGTTCCCACCTGCTTCCCCAGAGATGGAATCACCTCGAAGGCAGCGGTCTTTGAGCCGCTGTGTGATTGTGCTTGCCTGCGGCGCCGAGGAGCCCGGCGCTTTCTCTGTTCCTAGCAAAACCCTCCGGTGCCGCCCCTTGCCGACCGACGTGCATGACCCGCTTGCAAATGTCGCTGCGGGGGGCTGCTTTCTTGCAGTTTCTGGTTGGAGAAACCACCCAGGTTTTACCAAGGACCGGGCTCACGTGGCAAGGATGAAATCCACCTTTTACACCGGAAATCCAAGAACACCCTCCACCGTCGGGTGGCCGCTGCTAACTACGGGCTTGTGTTTGTGCCAGGGAGAAACAGCTCCGGTAAGAGCCAGCACCGAGCCAGCGCCTTCTGGGCGCCATGGGGACCGGGCTCACCGGGTTCCACGGGCATCCCACTGGGGAGGGACTATTTTTATTTTTTTTGATTGAAGTGAAATTCACATAACATAGAAGGAACCTTTTTCAGTTGCACTCAGCATGTTCATAATGTTGCACAGCATCACCTCGAACCTACTTCCAAAACATTTTTATCGCTACCAGAGGAGACCCCCCCACGCAGGAAGCAGAGGGTCCCTGTTCCCCTCCCCCAGCCCCTGACAACCACCAGGCCGCTTGCTGTCTCTGGCTTTGCCTCTTCTGGACGCTTCATACAATTGGAACCGTGCAGCCTGCGGTCTTTGGTGCGTGGTTCTTTTGCTCAGCGTGTTTTCAAGTTCCATCCATTGTGCGGCTCGGGCCGCGGTTCGGTCCTTCTCACGACTGAGCCGTATTTCATTGTGTGGATGGACCACATTTTGTTTATCCAGTCATCTGTCGGTGGGCACCTGTGTTCTTTCCATCTCTTTTTGGCTGCTGTGAGCATTCGTGTGCATGGACTAGTTTAAGGGGCTACTTATCATCCCAACTCACAGATGAGAAAACTGAACCCCCCCCCCCGACTTGCCCTACCTGCCCGCAGCTGCACAGTTATGGCCTTGGGGTCACTGGGGACAGGAGTTCATGGCCACGTGAGCGAGTCTTCTCAACATATGCTACATATCTTCCCTGCTTTCATTCTTTCTCTCCACATTCCCTGTTTTTAATCCACGACCCTTTTCCCCAGTTGAAGCACCATTTAAGATTTGGAGAACTTTTAAAAAGGTAAACCAGGGATGTTCATAGAATCTCCAAATCCCTTCTTGTCAGTGCCCCGGTGTCATGTGCGTGTCTCACCTACGGGGCGAAGGCTTGACCCCTCAGACAGGAGCAGGGCAGGAAGCATGGCCATCCCATCCCATGCACCCCGGGGCTCGGGGCCGTGCCGAGTCCCAGTGCCCAGCCCAGCTGGAAGCCAGGAAGTCCACAGTTAGTTCTGGGGAAGGGACACCTGCCAGGAGGTGGAGGGCCGTCCCCCGAGCAAGTGTAGCAGGTGCTGCCCGTTGGTAGAACGGCCTGGCAAAGGTAGCAGGCAAGACCTGGGCGTGACATGGTAAATCGGGCTCCTTGTGCTCTGGGCAGATGGGCTTTTAATGATTCTCCCCTATTATTAATATTCCCTACTTGGGGAAAAATAGGCATAGATTATGCAGCTTGCCCAAGGTCACACAGCAGCTCAGTGGCAGAGGTGGGATGGGGGCAGCTGGGAAGAAAAAGGGGCTTTGGGGGATCCCCAAACGACAAACTTGTTTTTCAGAGGCCAAGTGAGCTGACTCAGGCCCTCAGAAGGGCACATTTTCACGACCTCCCTCCCCATGTGTCTCGGCATGAGCGACGTTCCGGAAGGAACGGGCCGGGTCCTACGCACCCTCCTGCCAGCAGCCAAGGCTGCCTCTCTTCCCCTGGGCTGCAGAAGTTCAGAGAAACTAGGATCACGCAGAGGGCCTTTTCTGCCCCTGATGGCCTGCTTTGTTCTTCTAACAGCTTTATTGAGGCAGAATTTATATATATAATAATCACCCATTTTAAGTGTGTAATTCAATAGTGCTTAGTAAATTTGCAGATTTGTACGAGCATCACCACAATCTAATTTTAGAGCATTTCCACCACTGAAAAGAAGCCTCTGTGCCCCCCTAATCTGCCTTTTGTATCACTGCAGGGGGGACATCTCCCCACTCTGCAGTAATGCCGGACCCTCACTGAGCACTTGATCCCTCACCAGGTCTAGGGCCTTCCCAAGGACACATCCATGAAACTGCCACGGCAGCCCAGTGGGGTCAGGTCTTGCTGTGATGGTCCGCTCGTCGCCACAGAAGCAGACGCAGAGCATGGCTAGGTTCCCTGCTGTCGTGGGGTGAATGGTGGGCCCCCCAAAAGGTGTGTCCACGTCCTAACCCCCCAAATCTGTGACTGTGACCTTATGGGGGAAAAGGGGTCTTTGCAGATGTCACTAAGGTAAGGATCCTGATCATCCTGGATTCTTCGGTGGGGCCCGGAATCCAGTGGCACCAACCCAATGAGAAAAGCAGAGGCTGTTTTTTCAGAAGTTGCTCGAACGGGGCGTCAGGCAAGGCTGCTTTCTCTGGCAGCCCTCACAGGTGCACCCTGACGGAGCCATGGCCGGGAAAGCTGGAGGGGGCTCCCCGGGAGTGGGGCATCCTGTGTGATTATTAGGGGGCACGTGTGGCTTTCTCTGGTTGGTTCTAAATCGGAGGTGGACACACATTAGGGCAGCTGTGAGTTCCTGATTGTGTCCTGACCGCTCAGAACTGACTGCCAGAGAAGTCATCATTCAGCTTCCTGGATGGTCACCAGGGGTGGCCTGCTGGGCTCCTGGAAATCCGACGCACCGCAGCCTGGCTTCCTGGGCCCGTGGCTGGAGACAAGGCGTGGAGCTCCTGGGCAGGTTGTGGCAGGCTGTGGCCCAGAGTTCTGTTTCTGTATGTGGTCTGGCCACTGTCCCTTTATATATTCGGTCTATGCCAGGTGTCCTCAGGAGCGACCCATAGAGGATGGACAGGAGAACGGAGGTCAGGTCGGGAGGGAAGCAGAGAGGGAGGCGTGCAGCCCCAGGCCGAGGACGCCGGAAACCACCAGAAGAAGTTGGAAGAGGCAGGAAGGATCCTCCCCAGCGGCCGGAAGGAGCACGGCCCTGCGGACACTTTGATTTTTGACTTCTGGCCTCCAGCAACGTTGAAGAATACATTTCTGTTGTTTTCAGGCACCAAGTTGGCGGCGATTTGTTAAGGCAGCCGTGGGAAATGAATGCTCTGGCCCCCAGGGTTACACGGATGGGGATTTTTGCCAAAGTCCCGAGTGGGGGCTCTTGACCATGCTGCCAAGGTGGAGGTGGGCGAAGGTGGGGCTGGAACAGCAGGAGGGACTCAGAGAGAGACCGGCGACAAGGTTCTGTGCTGGTTTGAAGTCTTACCCGTCTGTTTGCTCGTTCTTTCAATATTAGCTCAGGTCCCAAGATGGCTTTGATGGCTCATGGGTCAAAGGTCTGAGTGTTGCACCAGACCGGGCCCCGGCAGAGCCCCTCAGCCCCGAGGGCATTGCCTTCCGTCTAGACACCTGCCAAAGCCCTTTCCAGGCTGTCTGCCCTGAAACTCCGGGACAACAGGCTTTCCTCAGCTGTCCTCACTGAGGTCCAGTGTCCCTCACTGACCTCACCTACGAACTGAGATGAAATCCAGCTAGCACACCAGTGACACTGTTGACCGCCTTGTTTAATTCTTCCCCATCTCCGTTCCAGAATGGCCTCAAAATGGCTTATGGAGTGACACCCAAACATCAAGTTAACTTAGAAGGAGGCTGGGAAAAAAAAAAATAAAAAAAGAAGAAGGAGGCTGGGACCTGGGGAGTCAGGGCAGAGGGAAGGGAGCCAGCACCTAGAGGCCAACGTGAGGACCAGCGTAGACCCCTGCGGCAGGCCACAGGGCAGGGGCTAAGCTTCCCAGCAGCCAAAGGGGAGAGGGGTCAGAGGCAGTGTGAGGTACCAGCAAAGTGAGGGCTAGGCTGTGTCTTGGAGCAGGTCACTGGCCAGACAATGGCACAGAGTCACAGTACTGTTTGGGGCAAAACCCCTCAGGCTGACCCCTGTCTCTGCTGGGCTGGCGGGATCTGGCCCCGGGGTTGGGGAGATGGTCTGGTTTTGTTTGTCACTGTCTTTTCCTTTGGGGCGCTCTCGGTACCCATCAGGGTGGCCCACCTCGCCTGCAGGGGTAAGGATGTGGCCCAGGAGACCCATCAGAGTCCGGCTGGGACTTGCTCCGCACTGAGGGAGACGGGGGATCGTTGATGCCCTGGACAATCACGAGCTATGGAGACGACGTAAGCGGGAGGGGGCTGCCCCATCTTCCAGGACACCCAGAGGTGGCCATGTGCTTCAGGAAGGAACAAGGCCAGGGCCCCAGGGTGGGCAGGGTTGAGCAGCAAGGAAAGGCGGTTAGGCAGAGGGAGCGCCCCATTGACACCCGCCCTGCTCCTGGATCCAGCCATGTGTGACATCCTGACATCTTCTTCCAGACCTCCTGGTGATGTGGGTCAATGAAGTCCTCACAAAGAGCTTTACACAAATTGCTGTTGTGAGAAACAACCTGGGCTCACAGCGGTGCCTACCATGGGAAGGAGGAAGGTGGGGAAAGAGTGTTCTTTGGTGACTGCTAATTCCCGTTTCTCTCATCCGTGGCTTTGATGGCCTTTGGGCTGTGCTCCCTGACCTTGGGATCCAGTGTCCCTCACTGACCTCCCCCCGTGGGCAACGAGGCCGACACTGGGGGTCCAATTTAGGCCATCGGTACTGCTGATCGCTGGGGGTGGGCCAGGCCCTGTGCAGGTGGGTTTTGGGGAGGGGGCCGTAGTGAGGATCAGGGTGGGCAGGCACTGGTCCACGGAGATCACAGCGTACTGGGCGAGGGTCACCAGAAGCCCCCACAAGAACACAGCATGCCCCCTGCCCCCGTGAGAGGCCACTGACTTTCACTAGTACAAGAATAAGATTATGGGGTTTTTTTTTCCCCTTAGAAAATACTTTGTTTCTTTAGCAGAGCACAGAGGAGGAGATAATCAAGGTGTTTTTAAAGCCTTTAGTGTTTTGTTTTTAACTCTCCGTGATCTCCCCCCCCGGCCCCGCATAAGGCTTCTCAGTCTTGGTTCTGTTGACCTTCGAGACTGGATCATTCTCGGTCGTGGGGACTGGGCTGAGCATTGCAGTGGCCTTTATCCTCTGGATGCCAGTAGCATATAGTGTACTTCCCCACTTCCCTTTGTGACAACCAAAAATGTCTCCAGACACTGCTGAATGTCCCCCCTGAGGGGGCAGAATCGCTTGGGTTGAACACCGCTACCCCAGGGACTTCTGCCTCCACAGTTCCGACATAGGAAACACACAACACAGCCCGAAAGAGGGAGGAAAGAGGTAAATTTTTGGGGGGGTGATTTTTTTTTTTTTTATCGTAGTCAAATATACATAACATAAAGAAGAGCTTAAAAAGAGCTCTATTCGGTGGCATGAAGCGCATTCACTGTGTGGGTGGCCATCCCCAGCATCCATTTCCAGAACTCTGTCGTCGTCCCAAACAGAAGTTCCAGACCCGTACAAAAGTGCCCATCCTCCGACACCCCACCCCCACCCCCTTCTACTTCTGTCTCTGTGGACCTGACCACCCCAGGGACCCCATCCAAGTGGAATCAGGCAGGCTTTGTCCTGGGACTGCCTTGCTTCCCTCGGTGTAACGTCCTCGAGGTCTGCCCCTGTCATAGCAGGTGGCAACATCTCCTTCCTTTGTAAGGCTGAAGAATATTCGGTGGTGCGAACAGACCCCGTGCTGTCCCATTGAACCACAGATGGCCGTTCGGGCTGCCTCTGCCTCCGGGCTACTGTGAATAAAGCCCCGGTAACAGGGTGTGCCGTGTCTATTTTAAGTCCCTCCTTCCAACTCCTTGGGGTGTACCCCCAGAAGCGGAATTGCTGGGACATAGGGCATTCCTATGTTTAACTCTCAGAGGAGCTGCCGTGCTTTTTCCCATAGCAGAAGCAGCATTTCACATTCCCACCAACAGTGCACAGGCCTCCAATTTAACTCTCAGGGGAGCTGCCGTACTGTTTAGAAGTAAATTCTTGACTTTTGAATTTCACAAGAGGCTTTTGAGGTTCAGATGCAGAGGTGGAAGGAGAGTGGGGGGCAGGTGGGCAGCACATGGATACGGAGAGTCTCTAAGTTATCACCAAGTCCCCGGCCTCGGGGATCGGGTGTGGCTGGGGGACGCGGAACTGAGGGTTGGCTTTTGCCACCAACAGGATGGATCCTTAGTAGAGTCAAATTGTAGGAAAACAAAGTCCTCCTTCTTGCCTGGCTGAGTGTGTGGCTTGAGATTTGTACTGTTACCCTGGGCCCCAAAGTTCTCGGCTGTGGAGCGTGACCATGGTATTTTTAGCCTGGAAATATTTGCAGGATGGGAGTTGCCCAACACCTACATGGACCATAAAATAATTTCCATCAGGCAGCCATGGAGCACCTCACTTGGGGCCCTGTGAGTGCCTGCAAGTCCTCCAAGATCAACACGGCCCCCAAGGCCCGCCAAGGCCCTGAACAAGGAGGGCTGCTGTCTGGGGCCAGACGGGCGGCCGTCAGAAGCCGCGCACCGTCGCTCTGGAACAAGGCCCGCAGTCAGGCCCGTCCATCTGTAGGCCCCTTTCTTGGTGGTGGTCAGTGGCGGGACCAGGTGTGTGGGACGGATTGATAAAGGTCGTCTGTCTGATTGGGCCCATGTAGACTGAGCGGGACTTCAGTGGCCCCCACATAAGGGAGCTGGTCTCTGACAATCATGGGTCACCCCCAAAGGTGGAGTCCGATCGTCTACACAATTTCTCAGAACCCTTCGGGGAGGAAGGCTGCAAGCTGCACCCCCCCCACCGCCCCGCCCTGCAGAGGAGGAATCTGGGCTCAGAGGGAGCTCGGCCCCATCAGCGGCTTCCATTCCCAGCCCATCCCTTGCCCTTACCAGCTCCGTGCCTGGGCTTGGCATCCCGTTGGCTCATTTTGGGCTTCATTTCTACTGGTGTCGTTGCGGCACAAAGAGGCCAGGGTGCAGGGGCAGGCTGTGAGGTTGGGGAGGGGTGGGCAGCAGCTCCT